TAAAGAAAGCCCAAAAGATATTTATATTATACATAATTAATCTCATAAAAGCAAAATGATTACTTAGTGGAGAGAGAAACGTAAACGTCTTGTATGTCCAGAATTATGAACATCGACGGTTGCAATCATGTTGCACCTTAAGAAATGAATACCTTTAAAATTGCATTATTAAAAATAAATTATATATGATTCATATAACAACTCATACATGATCCAGACGACTTTACCCTGCGACTTAAGTGGCCTCAAAAGTCGCAAGCTTCCATTTAATATAAAATCACATGTGAGTTTGTACATTAACGACATTTTTTTTAAATAATTAACGTTCACGTTCGAACTTTCCTCTATGTATGTATTATTAAATATATATATACATGTATTTTATATATTTGTGGATTCTAATTTCATTTAAAAAATAAATATGATTGAAATTTTTTTATTGAACTACCTCTTGATCTTATATTAATATATTTTTAAATATATATTGATATATCGAGAAATTTTGATATATTGATTGATTTTTAATTTTTTTTTCAATTGTCATGTACATAGAAATTTATATACATTGATGTAAAWAAAAATAAATGTATGTACATTTTAGTTTTATTTATAAAGAAAAAAAATAAGATTGAAACTTCTCATTGAACCACCTCTTGGTTTCTAATTTAATACATTTTTAATTATATATTGATATATTTATTGATTGAGAAAATTTTAATRTATTTTGATATATATTGATTGATTTTGATGATTTTTATTTTTTCAATTGTCATGTAATTAAAAATATACATTTATTGTTATGAAATAAAATATATGTAGTTTTATGCATTTGTGGATTCAAATTCATTTACAAATAAATAAATAAAATTAAGTTAAAAAAGTAGGAAAATGAAAGGTTTAACAATTAATATGTTGATTGTATATCATAAATAAATAAAAAAATAATAATAAAGATAAATATGATAGAAAACTTTTCATTAAACAACCATTTGGTTCTTACTTCACACACTGCGTGTTGCATAGTGATGAAACTTGTTTTGTTAGAAAATACGTAATCAAATTAAGGTGAAACGTAATTTCATAATCAATTGTATTATAAGACGGTGATTACATTGGGGTGTTTTTGATGCAATTTTTTTCATTGATATTGTTTCTTGTAACTAAAGGAATTCATACATTTTATATTTTTTTTTGGTTGCAGAACAATAATTCTATTGAAGTTCAATTTGTATAAAAATTGTTAGCCGCAACCCGCAAGTATTGTATGATTACTATTGAGCACTATCGTAGGTGTATGCAAAAGTAATCTTTTTAATTTAGTTGTAACATTTATTTTCCAGATTTTTTTTAAATAAATTCATGTACATATAGTCATCCGAATAATTAGATGTGTAATCACAATATAAGAAATGATATAACTAAATTTATAATACAGTTAAATAATAGAAAATAAAATAAGAGTATTTTATTAATTATTGAATGAAATATAATATCCTCTAATCTTGAGGACTCATACAATGCAAGGTATGTAAGCAATAACATTCGTTATATTATAAGCTTACCGATTGTTGTAAACAATAGCTAATCATGGTTGGCCAAAAATCGAAGAACTGAAATTTAAATTGGATTCATTATAGACAGAGAAATTATTATTGTCTTAGTTTTGATAACAGAAAACTTAGTTTTGTGTAATGATGCTTACGATGTATAAGCACAAAAAAGGATGATGTACATGTACAATTTTCCATCCTCAACACACACCCTGACTTTAAAAATACAATAGTGAATGGACCAAGCATACGATATGTACAAAATCACATACCAAACTTAAAAGACTTAAAATATTTATAACCCAATAAATAAAATTATAATGCAATCAAAATCACAACACGGACATACATAAAATTATCACACGACTAAACTTACGATAAGAACATACTTAAAAATATAATCCAATCAAAATCATGATACAAACATACATAACATTCTAGTACACTCTAAATTACGAAATAAACTTGCATAAAATCCTTACCTTAGATCATAATCATAAATTCCCACAACCCCAACTTGAAAACTTCAAATTTTTAAGACTTAATATATAAAAATTGAAGAACTCGAAAATCTGCAATCAAAATCATGAAACAAATCAATATAAAATTATTACCTTGTATTGCAACCAAAAATCAAATATTGAACTTGAAGACTTCTTCAAATCTTCATGACATAATGCATAAAAACTATAATGCAATCTAAATAACGATACAAACATTCATAAAATTATAGGAGAAGAGAAATAACAAAAAAACTATGAAAATTATCAATAGTAAAATAGAAGAAAACCAAAGATGAAGAAAATAAATTTAGAGATAGAATTTGAGAGGATGTGAGAGATGAAGATGAACAAAAAGTTGTTGTTTTTATATATATAAATAAATAAATGATTGGAAAAGATGAATGATTTGGAGTTATGTAATTTGAATTAATATAGAAGAAGATGAATGATTTGGAGTTATGTAATTTGAATTAATATAGAAGAAGATGAATGGTTTGAAGTTGAATGCAAACATTTAAGAAAAAAAACCTAAATTGACAAAAAAAATAATATAGTAGTGGATATTAAAAGAATGAAGGAGAAAAAAGATAAATAAGGTTCTAAGTTCTAGGAGAAGCCATCTCAATAACTCATGGTTTCTTCTTTAATATATAAACCCAAATAAACAAAAATGCAAATGACCTCCAAAAAAACTGAATAGATGAGAAGAATTGAGAGGTTAAGAGAGATATTATGCTTAAACAATGTTAAATTGTTTCTTCAATGATTCATATGCCACTTTATCTATACAAAAAGAAATCCATATGCCTACATAATTCCAACTATAATGTGAATGTCTCCGACTAAAAAAAGAAAATATTATACTTACATAAACAAAAACTCATATCATGATTTGTCTTATTGAATGACACCTCAAATAAACAAAAATGCAAATAACATCCACAAATTTATAACTGAATAGAGAGAAAAAATCGAGAGATTATCATAGAAGTGTACCACAAAATTATACATTGAATATAGAGGAAGAATTGAGAGATTATTATAGAGATTTACCTTGAAGAGAAAATGAAAATTTGTAACCAAATAGAGAGAAATAATGAGAGTTAAAAGAGTAATTATTAGAGGGAACATGAATAGGTTGAAACAACCTAATTAAAAGATCTTAAATGTGAATATTAAAAATCAAAAACAAATATTGAGGTAGAAAAAGCTTGAAAAAAGGAGAAAAAAGATAAAACATTTTCTTGTTTTGAGAAGAGGCCACATCATTACATGTGGTTTCTTCTTTAATATATATATAGATTTAATGTTGTTGTAGTGAAATGATATAACTAAGTATTTTATTTCCACTAAAATACAACATAAAATGACGGGTATTTAGATTGATGAATTTGTCAACGAAATATCTATCAATGTCATCATATTCTCCGACATATCAATTTGTTGTTGCTGCAAAAAAGATTTCAATAATTTTCTCTTATTAATTAGATTATTTGTCATATTTTTTGATCATGTATCTCTTTTGGTAATCTA